GATGGCAAGATTTCCAGTTTCGATACCTGATGCCAATACTAACTGGTATCAATACTTTAATCAATGATTTTGTAGTATTGGGACATCCCTAACTACAGCTCTGAGAAGAGTCCATTTAAGATACCATCCCCTTCTGGTTTTCTATTGATATATTATTACACTATAACATCAATCTAGAGCAGTGATTCTCAACCTTTTTTTACCCATGGACCCCTTTTCCTCTTAATTTTTTTTATGCACCCCCATAGACATTGCACAGAAAAAATCTTATATTTTTCACTAAAAAAAAAGAAAGGTAAACATTTAGAAATGTCACTGTCTAGTGACATGATGCTGATGGTATAAGATTCTCCTAACAAACCCCAGCTTTATAATCTTTCTTTGACCTTTGTCAATAGAGTAATAAAGAAATTGACAATATATATACTGTAGAAATTTAATTATCAGTAAAACAATTGTTCTGAAGTAGAATTACACTATAGATCACTAAAATATTACCGTGAACCCACAATTCAGTACTTTTTTCTGTGGACCCAGTAATGTTGAGAACCACTGATCTAGAGATTAGATGATAGTCATACAATGATTGTCACACCTTTGTAACATTTTAACACATTTTAGAATATACAAAGTTCCTTTTTACCAACTTTTTTATATTATACAGTTTTAATAGTGTTTTTGTTATACTCTTTCCTTTTATAATTTACAGGTGATATTTCTTTTATTAATATTTTTAACTGTTTACTAGACTTACAATTTAATAAATTTATTTATTTTTAGTATATACAAGTTTCCTTATATCAACCATTAATTTTTAATACAATTTTACCATGCTTCCCATTCTATAATACACAGGTATCCATTTTATTAATAATTTTATTAATAACTTAACCTTTTTATATTTTACTTAATTTTCGTATTTTACCATTATTGTTATTATTTATTTATCCAGTTGTCAGCATTTTAACCATAATACACATTTAACTTCTACCATCCAAGTAATACTGTGTTCATTATATTTTTTATTTTAACTATTTCTTAAATTTTGTAATGTTTTATAACCAGATTGATGTAAAATAAAGAGGACTGATGAAGAACATGTTGTCCAAAATGCATATCTCCAGAATCAAATACAACAAAGTTAGATACACAGGCTTAATAAAGCCTGTGTACTTCGTTCTGTATTCCTGTATAATTCATCTCTCAAGCAATCTTATGCTTATTCCTAACAATTAAAAAGAAAACAAGAAACAATTAAGTACAATGTTTTATGATTTAAGTGATAATTTTTTGAAAAATAGCACAGTTTCATGTTAATACGATCTAATAGACCATATATGCTATTTAACGCATACTTTCTAAAATCCTAATGGTATTCTATTGATTCTACTGAAATGTAAAATCGAATTGAAATCAATAAAAATTTCCATTCATATTGTAAGGAAATATTTAAATCAATAAAAAAATTCCACTGATTTACATGTTATTAGTCTAAAAAAGTGATGGAATTTCAAAACTAAATTTTATTGATATGATGATAACAATTAAAATGTGTTTATATATTTGTAGACTGGCAAAATAAAATAGAATTTTCATGCAATATCATGTTTATGTTATTGAATTTGAACTTTTGCTATCTTTACTTGATTGTATATTTCAATGTTCCCATTCAAAATTTTATGTTCACTTAATTAAAACTTAATTTGAAGCAGAATCCTGACTGATACTGTAACTTGTCCTCTTGATGAAATTACAGTATAATCAATTCTCTACATGGAAAACCATCTTTAAAATATACAATAGAACCATTAACATATTATGACTTCATTTATTTTATTTTAATGTAAATAATGTTTATTGTTTTTAATGTTTGAAATAACAATAATTAACTATTCTTATTTAATTTAGAGACTGGTTTAACAGCAAAATTCCTGTGATTAGGAAATAAGTACAGTTCACTACAATTTTAAGAAAATATAAAAAAAGAATAAATAAAAAATAACATATTACAAAAAATTTAAACAAAAAATAATAAAATGACTGTAAATAACCATTTTAATAATTCATATATGTAATATTTTTATTATATACAGAACTAATCATGTAATTTTCATAATTTCTAGATGTGAGTTAGATAACAGAATGAATTTGAACAATATCACTGTCATTAATGAGATCTGGTAACCACTACTACAGCTAGGGATGTCCTGATACTGTCAATACCAATACTGTTTCAATACTTTCCTTTGATACTGAGTACTTTTTGAATTTGCTACTTTTGGTCCAATATCGATACTGGTATGAACTTCAGGTATTGGATTCAGTATCATTACATTTTTCACAGACAAGAAAGATCCAACTGAAATAATATTTTGCAGCCAAAACCAAAACAAACAGGATTTAGGTTTTAAAGTCAGTTTCAGCCAAACAAACAAAATCTTATGCTATTTTTTGTTAATATTAATGATCAAAAATCAATAAACTTATTACATGAAATTTCATTTGCAGAAATTATATACTGTTTGCTTAGATTACTATTTATAAATAATTCACCAATTATTTGAAAAACTTAAAAATATTTTGAAATCTCAAATCAACTGAAACAATGTTAGTAACATTTAAGTTTATATTAAAAGTCAGTTTTAATAATTTGTTAATAATAACTAACTAGAATAAAGCATGTTACTTATGTTAAAATAAAAAGTTTCAATTATCATATGCTAAATGTTTCAAAATCAAGCCATGGACTGAACAGCGACGGATGGCAAGATTTCCAGTTTCGATACCTGATGCCAATACTAACTGGTATCAATACTTTAATCAATGATTTTGTAGTATTGGGACATCCCTAACTACAGCTCTGAGAAGAGTCCATTTAAGATACCATCCCCTTCTGGTTTTCTATTGATATATTATTACACTATAACATCAATCTAGAGCAGTGATTCTCAACCTTTTTTTACCCATGGACCCCTTTTCCTCTTAATTTTTTTTATGCACCCCCATAGACATTGCACAGAAAAAATCTTATATTTTTCACTAAAAAAAAAGAAAGGTAAACATTTAGAAATGTCACTGTCTAGTGACATGATGCTGATGGTATAAGATTCTCCTAACAAACCCCAGCTTTATAATCTTTCTTTGACCTTTGTCAATAGAGTAATAAAGAAATTGACAATATATATACTGTAGAAATTTAATTATCAGTAAAACAATTGTTCTGAAGTAGAATTACACTATAGATCACTAAAATATTACCGTGAACCCACAATTCAGTACTTTTTTCTGTGGACCCAGTAATGTTGAGAACCACTGATCTAGAGATTAGATGATAGTCATACAATGATTGTCACACCTTTGTAACATTTTAACACATTTTAGAATATACAAAGTTCCTTTTTACCAACTTTTTTATATTATACAGTTTTAATAGTGTTTTTGTTATACTCTTTCCTTTTATAATTTACAGGTGATATTTCTTTTATTAATATTTTTAACTGTTTACTAGACTTACAATTTAATAAATTTATTTATTTTTAGTATATACAAGTTTCCTTATATCAACCATTAATTTTTAATACAATTTTACCATGCTTCCCATTCTATAATACACAGGTATCCATTTTATTAATAATTTTATTAATAACTTAACCTTTTTATATTTTACTTAATTTTCGTATTTTACCATTATTGTTATTATTTATTTATCCAGTTGTCAGCATTTTAACCATAATACACATTTAACTTCTACCATCCAAGTAATACTGTGTTCATTATATTTTTTATTTTAACTATTTCTTAAATTTTGTAATGTTTTATAACCAGATTGATGTAAAATAAAGAGGACTGATGAAGAACATGTTGTCCAAAATGCATATCTCCAGAATCAAATACAACAAAGTTAGATACACAGGCTTAATAAAGCCTGTGTACTTCGTTCTGTATTCCTGTATAATTCATCTCTCAAGCAATCTTATGCTTATTCCTAACAATTAAAAAGAAAACAAGAAACAATTAAGTACAATGTTTTATGATTTAAGTGATAATTTTTTGAAAAATAGCACAGTTTCATGTTAATACGATCTAATAGACCATATATGCTATTTAACGCATACTTTCTAATTTGAGATAATTAGCATAAATATTCTTATAATAAAAAATACAGCAACAAACTTTAAAAAATTTAAGTTCTTTCAATGAAAAATTCTTCTTACATTGTTATCCAAACAATAAAATACAATAAATAAACTATTAATTATTATTTAGTATTGGTAGAACATTAACTTAAAACTTAATTTTTAACAGATTTAATATATCAAATCATCAGATCATCATTTACAGTCACAAAATGCAAAATTCATGTCAAGAGAGTTTCATATCATATATATATCTATAAAATCTATAAAATCTATAAAAATTAAACATTAATTATACTTTATTGGATCTACTTTTGAAATGAGTTTTCAACATAAATCTTTAATTTTTAAATTATATTGTAAACACATTATATTAAAAACATATTTAAATCATATTTAAATGTTATAATACTGTTTATTGTATTTAATTCAGAAAAATAATTAAAGTTTAAATTTTATTCCATCTTATAACCTAATAATGACTTTCAAAAACCCAAAAACATTAGTTAAATAGATAGCCTGATGAAATTTAATACTATTTTTGAAGATTTGTATTTAAAAAGAATTAAGATGCACATGTGGCATAGCTTTTGATCTATAAAACTAATCTTTATAGTACTATTACTTATTAATATCTTTAATAATATATCTTCATTACCATCTGTAATCTTAATGGTAATCTTTATGTTTATAGTAATATTATTATATATAATTTACAGTAATACTAATTTTACTATACAAAAATATGATAAAAGTAAGCAATCTCGGATCTGAAAAGTTCATGGCATAATAATAAAATGTATTTAATTTTAAAGTTTAATTTATAAAAGGATATTAAAGTTTATATTTCACTATCACAATTACCATTAACATAAGAAAAGTCATTTCCCCAAGGGTAAGATGCTGATGGTCGCGTCCATTGGGTGTTTAATTCAAATCTTCCTGATTCAAATAATTTTCTAAGTAAAATAAAAATAAATATTTTTATAAACTTAAATACAACATAGCACATAAATAAAACTATTTGCATTGTTTTAAATAGTAGAATATTTTAAAGTAGTAATAATACATAACATCTTTTTTTAATTATACAATTAATATGAATATTTTCAAATTGATATACTTATTTTTCTTTTACTATGAAAAAGTATAATATACTTTGATTCAGATATTTCTTCCAAAATATATAAAATATTTTAGCAGTTAAAAAAAAANTAGTATAAAACTAAATTTTTAAGCAAAATACATAAAATTTAACTTTTTCCTCTCTCCTCTTGACGACAAAATTATGACATCATTTTCTACAGGGACTGTCTTTCAATCATATGAAATTTATTGAAAACCTAAATATAGAACTAATACAAGCAAAGAATAAATCACATAGTGAAAAATATTATAAATAACTGAAAATAATATGTATTATTTTCTCAAAGAATAAATAATGTAGATGAAAATTTTGACAGACACTTCAAATTAAAAACAGCTGTAAAATTCAAGTAAATTTCAAGAGAAGTAAAATGATTAAACATTTTAAAAAACAAAGATAAATTGTTAAACAATATTATAATGGAAGACACATCAAAAATTAATAGTACTGTAAGTTACTTTGCCATTTTTTTGTTACTTACATTTTTTTGTTACTATTCTTGTTCTTTTATTAATATAAAATATTGATATTTGAGTAATTCAAATTAATTACCTATTTATTTTACTAAAAAGCTGAATCCAGTTCAGAAAACTCTCTCTGTATACAGCTCTATCACCATTTGCACTGAAGTCATGAAGAAGATAAACATAAAAATCACAATTTTCATTATTAAATAAAAGTTCTTCTGTCTTTTTCTGATCATAAGACTGTAAAGAAAATATTAAAAAATTTTAAAATATTTTACTTTTATACTTTTTTCCTGTACAAAAGAAGAATTTAATCTTCAGTTCATTAAGCACTGAATAAACTTGATGTAGAAATATTATAAACAACAAATAAGGCACTAAACATGAAATATTTAATACTGTATTAATTTTTAATAAATTAATACTAAATTGATAATTTGTAATAGTTAAAAGAAAATAGTTCAAACAATTTTCATTGCTTTACATTATAGAAAAATTGTAAAATATTACTTCACTTTTTTGAATTAAATTTAAAATACTGTAATATTAACTATAATACTTCTCAAATATCAAACAAACTGTTGGATTCTTTATCAGGCTATACAGCTAAGAAATTACTAAGCAATTTAGCAGGATACAGACCACATTCTGGAAGCAAGATTGAGCAGAGATATGGGTAGAATAACTGGTAACATGCTCCAGGCTGATCATTCTTCCAGAATATTCTAAAATTAAATTAAATTTATTTATAATTATTATATTTAACAAAAAAATGGCAGCCTAGAAGCTTGCCTCTTGCAAAATTGCTTAGTAATACTTAGCCTTATAACTTGATAAGAAATCTGGCTGTTTATTTGGTATTCAAAACAATTGTTAGGTTAGTAATACTACTTTCATTTTTAGTATTTTAGTATGTTTATGCTTCTATAGATAAATAACAATTAAGCATGCAATATTTTTTAAAAAATTCTAAAAATCTACATTTTTCATTACCTTCTCAAATGGTTCAAAATATATGATTCTTCCAAATGGTGAAGGAATGCAAAAGATATTATCAACCAAAAAAAATAAATTGAATTTTGGGCATTTTGTTATTCCTATTCTGATTAAAATTGGACAGATGATCATCTTTATTCTCTTCAAAATTCGGCAAGCTGATACTAATTGAAAATACAAATTTAGAAATAATTAAATTGTTTATTTTCACTTAAACTTTAAATAATTGCATTATTTCATTTATATTTAAATTAATAACAATGCACAATAACTATAATTAATGAATAATAAAAATAAAACTCATTCAGTCAAATGTACACAGTGAAAATACCAAACACACTAATGTAAAAATTTAAGACACTTGAACATAAATTATATTCACACAAACATTTTGAAGCTTATTTACTGCAGATTAGACATATACAATCAATTTTAGTTTAATTTCATTTCATTATAAAATTTCTAATTAAATGTACTACTATGGGAATGCAGGTGGTTACAACACAATAGCATAGTTTTAAATTGTTTTCCAAGTCCAATGATTATACAATTACTAAATGATGCAGACAAAATGTAACATTGCTAGTCTAAAATTTAAGGTAGAGCCTAATGCCATTTGAGAGTCTAGTGCCAAGTTTTAGTTTATTCTGGCCACGTGGATATTATCTTTGGAATAGAACACTTCTGATTGCCAAACTTCATAACTGTATTGCCATTTAAAAAAAACCAAAAAAAAACAGAGTTAAAATTTTTTAAATTTAATTAAAAATTATAGTAGGTGAATTTAAAAAATAATTGATTTTATACATTTAAAATAAAAAATAAAGAATTAAGTTTGTTGAAACTACAGTATATTATAACTGTTTTACTTATCTATTAATTCATAGTCTCTGATTTTTTATTTACATGGTTTTGTTCTAATTGCTTTAATGAAAACAATTAAAGCAAACAGCACTTAAAAATAAAATTTTTTAACCAAATAATTGGTTTTTAGCCAAAATATCTTTGATCAAATGAAAGTAAATAGATAATGAAAACCATCAGTTTAAAACAGAATAAAAAAATAATTTTTGTTTCATATTAATAAACAATAATTTACCTAAGTGAATTAATGAAGTCTTGTCAGTTATTAAATCACATCAAATGAAACTACAAGACTAAGTATAATGATTTTCATGTAAAATTTTTCCCAAACTCAAATTCCAGAGAAAATAGGTTGAAGAATCTAAATGCCTGACTTAGGCAAGCCAATGTATATTATGTGGACCTTCTGCATCACAAGAAATATTTACAAAAGCTACATTGAAAATATTGTGAATTTTAGCTAGAAAAATTCTACCCTTTACTCATGCTAAACGATTAAACAATATTATTTTGGAGACAGTAAAAGTAATACCATAGAAGAAAAAACAATAAAATGTTTCAAAACATTCCTTTATCACAAGATATGGCTATGCAATAGCTGTTGTGAACTTGCAAGTAATGTAGCTGATGAATTAGTTGCCAAACCACAGGCACAGACATGCACTTTTCTTTAGTCATAGATGAAACAACAAAACAGGTTAATAATTTTATATATACTGTAAAATAGTACAAGATTTAAAAATTTACCTTCTACATGAAGAAGATTTGGAGAGTAATCTATAATGATATCAGTCATTCCACATGTTACAATTGATATACTAACCAGTGTTTTTGAAGACAAATAAAAGACCTGGAAAAAAAAAAACAAAAGTAATTTAAGAAATAACATTAAATAAGTAATTACATTAGTGAATAAATTAAAACTTTTATAATTTAATTGAGGTTTGAAGGGTATCATTTATATTTTAAGAGAAACCAAACAAAATAAAGTGTTTTCAATCATATAACTTTACAAATTAACATTTTTGAAACCTCTTAAGTCTTATTTTAATATGTTATCTAGAGCAGCTGTTGGCAACCGGTAGTCCATGGACAATTTGATGATCCGCAAGAAAATTTGGACATTGATCAACTGAAGGTTACACAAAGTATTACAAAAGAAATGCAAAATGTTTAGTTGCTTTTTTTCGCTCATTGGGGTTTTTTTATTTGAATCTAAAACCAAATAGGAAGTACAGTACATTACATAAATACATTATAATCAATAACTAATGAATAACAAACAATATTGTGAGTGTTATTGTTGTCCTTCATAAAAATGTGCTAAGAATCCATAAACTTATTTCAAACAAGCAATAACAAACTTTAGGCTTGCATTAATTTGTTATAATTATTGTTTAATTATAGAATATAGAATAATGATGATAATTGAACTTTTATGATCATTATTCTACAGATTTTGTATCCATGAAATTCAAAAGTGTGAGTTTAGTGGTCCGTGAGGTCAGAAAGGTCGCAGACTGCAGACCTAGAGCATTAATTTTAAAACAACACTCAGAAGACAATTTAAATTTTTGAAGAGATGATGAAGTTCTTTATATCAAGTTTTTCTTTTTAGACAGAAATAGTCAGAGGATGCTAGTTCTGATTACAACTGGTTTTCTTTTTCTTATAAGTGTCTTGCTTTTATTCTTTCTTATGCCTCTGGATTAAGAACATTTAATTGTGACAAAGAATGGAAGTAAATAAAAATTATCTTTAGTGCAATGATAAATGCACAACAATTGATATGTGTCTACCTCCTGAGTATTGTAGAAAAATAATAATCAAAATAGATCTTGAATTATAGACTGAAAGTGCAAAGTTCTCTTCATCATACATATCTTGCCATTGTTAACAGATTATCTGTTATATTCACTTTTATAATTTTAATACAGATACTATAAAATTATATTATATAAAATCTTCTACTGATTAAGCAGCTTATTTAAATTTCCATCCTTTAATAAATAAAATTTAGCAAAGAGCAAAATTAAGTCGAGATTGTCTTTTCAGAATCTTATTACTTTAAAATTAATGTTCCAGAGAAGACTCAAAAATAAAGCTTAAGAGATCTTGAAAACAATAAAGGTGATAACCCACTTAAAACTAATAAAGCAGTATTATTACTTAAAACTACCTCAAATTTTTGTATAATAAATTGCCTTTGAAAAACACAGAAAATTTGTTATATAGAAATTTATTAAATGAAAAACACACCAATAGTAAATATAAAAGAGATGTATTTTCAACATTTCACAGCAAAATTCATTGAAACGAAAAATTTCAACAAAATTTCAAAGAGAAAAGAGTTTCATATAAAACTTTGTAATATGGAAGTCTGACTGTATTTAAATCAACTCATTCCTAGATAAATTACTAAGGATTGTGTCAGGATCAACAAATTTTTATTATATTAAAAATATAATAATAAAATAATTTCTGCAAGTTTTAGTAAAATAAGACACAATTTTGTCTTTTATATTTAATAAAATAATAATAATATTAATTCCTGTTTCATTTTTAACAGGACTTTTCATCCTATTTGTAATTAATTATTTTGTTTCAATGTGAAAGAAGTCATAAATTAAATCTAAGTTGGAAAGAAGCCAACAAGAAAAATGTTTGAACCCCGAGTTAAATTATAGTCAAAAGATATCAAGACTCCTATTTTATTTTTTTATTTAAATTTAATTAAAAGCATACTAACCTGATTGCAATTAGTTTGCAAAATTAAGTCACATGTATCAGTTGATTTATCTACATTAATGATTTCTTCATTGCTCTGAATAATGTTTGCTTCACTGGAAAAAATTAGATTAAAAAGATTAATATATATTTTTCAATAACAACATAAGAAAGTTAATTGCACCTCATGCCAAATAATGATCTAATGTAATGTTATGATATAACAAACTCTGTCTTACAGTGTTAAAATCAATGTTTTATTTAAAATTTCAAGATTTTTCATATTTTTATATGAAAAATTTTGTTCAATACAAGTCTAATCAAATCAGCCTGAAAAGGATAGTTGTAAACTATTGAAAATACTTGTAATTTTGAATAAAACATTGGTTTTATCACTAAGACAGGATAACGACCTAATTCTAATTATATTATAATTATTATATATAATCTGTTTAATATAATTAAGCATTATATAATTATATTTGTTATGTATTGAAAATCAAAAATTTTCAATACATAACAAAAAAAATTGATAATACTATAGAAAGATAAAAACTGCTTCATTATTTTTATCATAATATTAATTAATTTTTACCTTATATAATCTGAAGAACACATCATACAATTATGCACCTCTCTGCAATGAGATGGAGGGAAACACTGTCTAATAAAACTATTCGTTGTTTGAGATGATTCACTCCTTAGATATCTTTTATTTGAATTTCTTTCTGAAGATTCATCCTGAGAAAATGTCATATTGCTTGGATCATATGGAATGTCTAATGAATTATCAGGATTGTATTTACATTGTCTTTTGTTAAAGGCACAAGAATTGCTTTTCTCTTCAGTTCCATGTTTATCCTTGGCATCAGATTTTATATGTTCTTCTGAAGAATTAACTCCACTAGTTGAAGCATGATAAATATTTTCATCAGAATTATTCAATTTTCTCTTCTTACTTTGTCTTTTTATATTTTGTACTTCATTGTAATCATTTTTTGGAGTTTTTTGTATATTATCACATAAATCCACTCTTGTATTTTGCAAATCTTCAAAGTTACCTTCTCTTTGTTTTTCTAGTAAATCATCATGCACCACATATTCCTTGCAGCAAACATGATCATATGTATTTGGTGCTTCTCTAAACACATCTTCTAATATTAAAGTTTCTACCGATGATAAACTTTCTATAAAATGGATAAAAGATGAAAGATGAAGATGAGTACAGTGACGCACTATAAGATCGGTTAAATGCTTCCAAGGCAGGGTTCCTAGAATTAAAATTTTACAATCAAAATAATTTTTTAAATGTCTTTTCATTTAAAACATTTTAGATTAAAACAAGTTCATTATTTATTATTTAAAATACATAAAAATCACTATACTTTCAGTGTTACATAATATTAATAAAATGTTATATTTTGTTCTAGAAATATTAAGTTTTTCAATTTTTACACTGCAGTATACTGTAAATATATAAAGTTAAAAATTTGATACTAAAAAATAAATAAATTTTATTGTCATTAACTTTAAATATCTTTCTAATAAAATGTATTATTTTTCGATAAATTAATTTCAAGCTGAAAAAATTTAATTTTATATTGATAATACATTTTAAATTTTTAGAATACTTTCAAAATAAATTTTATTTGAAATTAACAATTACATATTCACATTCAAATATATGAAAAATAAGATGTGAAAATACTAAGTCAATATAAAGATATTCATGCTTGCATTTATGTATTTTCTTGCTTTTGTTATTATTTTCAAAATGGAATGGTCTAATGAAATGGTAATCAAAGTGGAAAATATTCTGTCACCAAATTAAAGAAAAAAAAGCCTCATTAATGGCATCATTTAGAACATATTACAACGAAGTAAAGCAGAATGTTAAAAGTAGGGTAGGGGCAGATGAAATATATAAACCTAACTGGTTTGCTTATTTTCATTAACAGATATGAACTAATAACTAATAACAAAGGCATTGGTACAAATTATTGTTTGAAAATTGTCCATTTTCTAGATCTTAGACAAACATTTGTCATCTGAACAATAAACTAATACTAGGGTGTGCTTGCTATATGACAAACACTTCAGCAAATATTGAATGTGTGGAACACCATTAGATTAAGAATTTCAATTTGAATGCATTATCAAGTAAAAAATTAATTATTTCATGTTACTTGTATATCAAGAAAATAAAAACATAAGAAAATTCATTCTTATTTAAAATATTAATTAAAACAATGTCGTAGCATAAGAGTTAAATATGTTGTGCTATTTTTCAGGAATGCACTAGTATGTCATACTGGCAGATAGCATGAAAGTATCTATAGGTAGTATGTAATACATTCCTTCAGTTTACCTTTATTTTCTTCTTGGTTTACTTATGCATAACCAGGTAGAGTGCAGGTTATAATGTGTCACACAACTGTTTACAAAATATGAACATAGATACAAAAGTGAGAAAGTAAGTACTGTACATTAGAACAGAGAATATGTGAATTCACAAATAAAAATTGGCAATATATATATATTGTAATATATATATATTACAAAGAAGATAAAATAAAAAGAAAAGATGTAGAACATAAATCTGAAACATCTACTCTGTGAAGAGCAACTGAATATACAAAGCACTCATGATGATTTCACACACAAATGAAATTCAGTTTGCAAATTGTAGTCCTTATGTTATAAAGTTCAATAAGTTTAACTAAATATTGAAACACATCTTTGTTTTTTAGAAGATGGTTTAACACACATGGCCAGGAAGCCTTATTACTCATATTGAGTATAGTTCTAAGAGTCTGTGTAATATCTGATAACATTCAAACAGTCAAAGATGTAGTTCCAAACAAAATTGGGACACTCACAGATTGGATATAACATAGTGTTCTTCTTCCAGAACCTATATAGATAGGATTTAAACTGGACATATTTAGAAAGGAACTGCACAATACTCCTTAATGTCCAGAATAAAGTTCCTAATAATCTCACCACAAGCTTCAGACTCCCATCTTTGCTGCCACATGTTTATCTTCACTTGCCAGATGTGGTGCTTTGCGATTCTTGTATGAAGGATATCGTATACAAAGGACTACAAGCAGCAATGGTATCTGTCCTTGCAAGAATGTCAGCCTTTTCCCTAGGATGCCCTGATGTCCTCTAACCTAATCAAGGAAGTAGCAGTTCCTAGAAGAGATGACAGTATCCAGGGTCTTCCTGACAAAAAAACTCAAGTTGCCCCCCATTCTGAAGAGCCAAGACAGTAGAGGAGAAGTCAGAATAGATACACACACTAAGGCCCTCGGGAGTCCTTCCATATCACAGAATAAAACTGTGTATAGCAAAGAGCTCAATCTGATACACAGTACAGACTGGATGCAGGGAGCTAGACCACAAGAACACTTCCCTATTATCAATGTATATCACAAAAGGCACAACCTAGGCTTTCCTCAGTCTTGGAACCACATAGTCAGTATGATTAAAGTTTAGAGTGGGAATGGCAGCTCAAGCAGCAGGATGAGGAACATTGCTGAAGTGGAAGAGAGAAGAGAAATAAAGTGATCTAATGTTAATATAATTTCTTCTGCTGATCAGAAATCTGGCAGTGATATATTACAAGTAAAGATCAAATGGAAGTTGCCTGTTATAACCTATATTCAAGGATTAGAAATTACAGAATAGGCCTAAAAGTGACCCATAAAAGAGCCTTTCTCTGTGCTGGTTGAAGCCACCTAGTATGTAGTACTAGCAGTTGCTCAGTAAGAAAAATTCTATATGTTCAGGTAGAAAGACTGATGACTGGCATGATAAAAACTAACGAAATGAACTGAGCTGCTCTATCAACAACAACAAATGCCATGGGCCGACTAGAGTTGACATAAAGAGCAAATGAGGTAATGATCCTTTTTGTCAAAAACCATTTTTTGATGAATGGACAGTACTGTTCTGGTAATTGTCTGTCCCTGCTACATTCTTGTCAAGAAACAAGGTACACAGAAACAATAATAATAATGTTTTTTAAAGGTAAAGTACAAACACAGTTACTACAAGGGCATCATTTAGCAACAGACACTATTCCAAAACAAGAAATAGGAAAGAAAGTGAAGATAGAGATATACAAAACACTTTGAAAAATACTACAAATGCTTCAAGATAAAAGTGTACTGTACATTTATAACATATATGATTAAACATTGTTTTTCATCATAGTTACATTTTTCCTAAAGCAGAACTTTTTTACTCACAATATATGCATATTGGCAATAATTTTTTCATATAGAAAAAGATAATAGATATTATGTATTTCAATCTTTAAGAATAAAATATACAGATTTTATGCCATATTTATCATATGTATAAAAGAAAGTTATTATAGTTTTTAATATAGCAGCAGCATTATGTAGAACAAGGCAGCATTACTAAATACATTTAATTTCATCTTTAAAAGTTTTTAAAGTAATCAAATGCTTGTTATATTATCAATTTTATTAATCATTTATAATTTCTTACAATAGAATATTTGTAACCATAAAAATTTAGTAGTAATACAGTCGACCCCCCTATAACATGGTAGATAAGTTCTGTTCTTTATGAAATTGATGTTCAATGAGTCCTTAAATACATGAGCCAATCACAGCCCAGCACATATGCAGTTTAGAGACTACGGCTGTTTGAAAGGTTTTCTTCCATAAAATTAATCGACTCTTGACTAATTTGACTCAACATTTCCAAAACACGTATAATTTTTTGGGAATAATCCATATAAACTATGCTATAAACAAAAAATTGTAGGATTACTTACCGAGTGTGCACTGTTCAACGACGCCATTGCTTAAGCTTGTTTTCGTCATGGAGTGGTGCATCGAATGGCACTCGCGTGCTTCCTGATAAATTATTTTTCTGTGAAAACTTTGCTGAACTTTGGAGACATCATTAATATAAATATAATTTTTATGGCTGTTAAATAATAAATGAATAAATAAATTTAGTAAGTCTGCTACTTGTTTAAACTCAATGGTTTGTGCAATATCCGCTATTGGTCTGGATTCAACCAATCCTGTTACGACATGAATCGGTGATGACGTTTTACTGAATTATACAAGTCTCTTTTAGCGTGTTTATATGAATATGGTTGCAATTTTTCCGCTGTCATATAAGAATCTGAACTATACAAACCTGTTTTATAGGGGGGTCTACTGTATATAAATTAATGTTATAAATTTAATACTAATTTATTTTATTAAAAATTAAAAAATTCAAAATTGTAATTTTGCAACATCATCATAAAATGAAATAATTACAGAGTTGTTATTTACAGTTACTACAATAAAAAAATTAAAACTATAAAATAAATATATGTTACAATAACTTAACCAGCCAGTATTAAATATTTTATAATGAAGAAATATGTGTTAATAAATAACTGTGAATTAATTAAAACACTTAATCAAAAAGTTAAAAACAATTATTACTATTTTGATGATAAACAAAAGTTATTTTACCTTCAGGACACCATAAATGTGGTGTTGTTACATGAATACAGTTATTTATTGAGAGACTTTTCAGATTAGGAAAAATCTGAGATATAACTTTCATCCCTGTATCAGTTATCAAACATGGTAAATCAGTTGATTCTGTCAAACCAATCCCTTCTAACATTTCTTCTGACCAATCACCTGTAACATAAATTACATTCTCAAAAATTTCATTAATAAATAAAATATTGTTCAAATTTCATAACATAAAAATAATATAATTCGGTCAAAAATTTAATATAGTGCTTCAAAATAGAAACAAGCAACTAAATATGATAGCATCTCTATGCTGAATAAGTACAGTACATAAATGAATAAATTGTTTAGTCTAAATTAAGAATCTTTAATTGATTAAAGAAATTAAACCTTTCTTTTTATTATTTCATAAACTTAAAATAGAGAGTATTGTTTTATTATGTTATTCTATTTACATCACAATTGCATTATAACAAATACACTGGTTTCTGAACAATTGAGACAAACTAAGCTACTTTAGTGCAATTTAGAAAATTTAGAATCCTTTGGTATAATTGAGCAACTGTTCCCATTAGTTTCTGAGTAAAACAATAGACAAAACAAAAGACTACCATTTATAAACAACAAACTATTTAAATTCTAAAACAAATTTAAATGTTTATTTAATTAAACTAAAGATTTTAGTTAAATAAATAACTAAAAATTTCAAAAAAATATAAAATGTTATATTTTGAAAACAGATTATTTCAAAAAATAAATGATAAACTGTTAAAAAGATTTATAAAATATGAAAATATAATTGCAAAATATACAGGGTTTAACAGGAAAAATGGTCACAACTTTAAGGGTGATAGAACATGGCAAAAGTAACAATTGTCATAATACAATGTGTGGTGGAATGTAAAATGCAAACACAGAAACACAGTAACTACAAAGATAATGCAAAACAAAAAGTTGTTTTAACCACAGAAATCTACAAGAAATAATGTTTCATATTTACAAGAATTGTTCAAATGAATGACCACCAACTGCAAGACATGCATCACAATCGCAACAGAGTGATTGGAGTACACTTTGGAACAGGGGTGTCCAACCAGCCACATGCGGCCCAAGGCAAGTTCCAATGCAGCCCAATAAATGTGTAAACAAAACCGACAAATTGTTTTATTTTATTTATTTTTTTATTTCAACGGCATAAACTCAAAAAAGAAGTTTCACAAAGCCGTAAACTTTTATATTGATACATATTTTATTTTTGAGTGAAAAGGAAATATTTTCAAATACTTGGAAATGTGTGAATGACAAAGGAATACTATATAAAGCTGGAGTTGTGACTCAAAGGATTATAGACCCAAATTTGAGAAAAGAAGAAAAAGGCCAAAAGATAAATAGTAGTGAGAAAGGTTAAATAGAGCTTCTGTTATGCAAATATTGACCCTTATTTTTCCAACCTCCCTTACTAAAGGCCTTTCTCTTCTTTTCTCAAATTTGGGTCTATAAATCCTTTGAGTTCCAACTCCAGCATTATTTAGTATTCCTTCCAGCATTGCAAGATTTGGCTACACTTTTTTAGTTTGGTGTAAAAATTATCATTTGGCACATTGATTACTTACTAGGCTGCATATTATTTATAAATATATTAGTCAAATAAAAATGCACTTTAAAATGGTGTTTTGTCATTATTTTATTAATTAAAGACCCAAATAACAAATATTTGTGTTTTTCAAATAAATTTTTGTTTGACTTCTTTATAATAAATGAATTTATCTATTTCTAAGTAAAAATTGAAAGTGTCTGTAGAAGTAATTTTTTAAAATATCCTTTTTCATAATAAAGTTTTAATACTTATTACTATAAACTAGACATGTTAATCCTTAAATATACTTGTATATTTAAGGATTAGGTCGCAAATATATTATACATACATGTGGCTCAAAACGACATGACTCCTTGCAATGTGGCCCAGAGGAACAAAAAGGTTGGACACCCCTGCTTTGGAAGATACCCAGCATGTCATGTACTTCTCCAGCTGCAGCACTACTTCTGGTAACAAGGTCTTCAGTAGAATCAATAGGCATCTCAAAATACATATTCACCTTCTCAGCATTTGAATACTGTTGCATCTCTGCAGTCATACAACTTCTGAATGATGATGTGTGCAAAATGTGGCCCTTCTCACTAGCAAGTGCCCTCTTTCAGAAAACCACTTTTGATCATTGTATCATGACTTATCAATCATCAATTTTTACTTTTGCCATGTTTTATCACCCCTTAAAGTTGTGGCCATCTTTCCTGTTACACCCTGTATATGATATTGTCATACAACATATCTTTACATTTATTGAATAATGAATAATTAGTTTTAATATAAAAAAACAATGAAAACAAATCTTAGTCAGTTATAAACCAACTGATCACTATTCAATTTAATATCAAACTAAGAATTATGTAACTTACCTTCTGAAGGAAGTTCATCTATGTATCCTAATTGAAGAGATTTCAAATTTGAAAAACAACATTGAGCAAATGAAAGAGATACAAACAGGCTGTTTTTTGTTAGAGATGGTTGTAAAGCAAGATGCTCCAAATGACGACTGGCAACAATGATTAAGTTGCCAATATCAGCTTCTAAAATATCCTAAATTAATTAAATTCACTTAATAAGAGAGTTTATGAATACAATACATTTAAAAAGTATTAATATTTTTTTAATAATAAATAAGTAATGTATTTGTAAATAGACATGAAATAAATTAGAAGTTGATCAGAAAACAATTCACAGTATAAGTATTCTAATATTTAAACCAGAAGCAAAGAATAAAATCGAAACAGATGAAAAATATGTAATAACCTAACAATGAATTCTGATAAAAAAATTGAATGCATTAACCAACTAAAGTTACTCAAACTAAAGAGCACAGAGAGTCAAATTTCACAACAATTTTTCTGTTAAATCTTAGTTTTTTTTTCTTTGAGCAGTCATACAGTTCATATATTAAAATTTATATTTTGTGTTATAAATTTATTTTAAAAATTTATAAAACAAAAGCATTATAAAATATAAGCCAAAATATTAAGATAATTTGGATCTGAATAAAGAAAACATTGTACTGCTACTAAAATATGTTATTCTTTGTTCGATAATCTACTACCACATACTGCTGATAACTCGAAAATATATGTTTTTGTTTATAATGTAAATGTTTAATATGGAATAATAAAATAAAATGTACAGTGGTAAAGGTTGAATTTTCATAATAAACATAAACAAACTTACACTTCACGCCAACGTAGAGTAATATATGATTAACACATCGGTGTTGCGGAGTTACAAGCAGTGATTTGTAAAAAGCTAAGCATTCGAAATTTATAGTATTCAATTTTCGCCTGAGGATGACAGCTGTAAGCTGTTGAAAGTACATGTGAATTTTTAGAAATCACAGGTTGAATTTTGTTACATTTCTGTGTATACATTGTCTACTTGGACTTTGTTCATTAATATGACTTATTATACTGGTGAAGTTTCTGATTAGCAATGAAAGGAAATCTTAGTCAAAAACATCAGGTAAAAATAAAGATATTTTGTTTTGACTTTTTTGACTAAGATTTCCTCTCATTGCTAAACAGAAACTTCACCAGTATAATAAGTCATTATACTGTATTTCAAAAAACTGGGTGAACTAGTGATGGTTTATTTGGTGAGTGTTATATAATAAGTCATATTAATAAACAAAATCCAAGTAGACAATATATACACAGAAATGTAAAACGTAAGGACAAAAAGATAAAAAGAATTGAATTTTGTTAATTTATAAAAGTAATATTTATATTCATAAATTAATCTAATTCTTAGTTTACACATCTAACATTTATGCTTTTGTGAGGTAGCAGGGGGCCACTGGGTTGATCTCTAATGACCATTTACTCTGCACGGGTTGGCAAAACCTGCTCTCGGTTTGTCAGATGGCTTAGGAGGGCAAAAATGAGTGGGGAGGGGTCGTGAGGTCGTGACGAGGTGTCCAAATAACTACACAGGTTGAACCATAACAAAACATTTAATAAACAACTAAGAGATTATACATATCAAAGGAAAAAGCATAAATAACACACGTGTAAATAATAAAAGGAATCTATTCTATATCTATGTTCTAACCTAAACTATAGATCGAGAGAGACCTCTCTAAGAGGGACGTGTTGGAGAGAGAGACAATATTTTTTTACCTCATAGGCAAGGGTTTACCTCATAGGATGTGATCTCTTCGTATAGGGCATTGGTAGGATGCACTGGGATCGGCAGTTTCTAATCAAAGTTCCCTTGGATGGCGATATGAAGCAATGGACAATATGGCGGTATGGAACTGAAGTCCCTGGATGTCCACTTGGCCATGTCCGAAGAGGGTGTACACTCCATTAATCTCTGACTGTAGAGATCCTTGTTGGCTGTCTGCTGAGGGTGTTGCTTTGGCGGTGTCCTCTTCGGCTATCCGCTGAGGGTGTTTACCTGGCGGGGTCCTCTTCAGCTGTCCGCCTGGAGGTGCAAATTCGACCCCTTTTTATACTTATCTCGGGGGAATCATGGGGGAAGAAAATCTGATACAATCGCCAGCTCGACTTGCGTATAGCTGTGTTTATGTTATCGTCATCCTTTCCTTCCAATAATTGACATCTTCCCATCATAAATTTGTCAAACTCCCTGATTTATTGACGTGAGGTGACTCATGTCAGACTACGTCTCACCCCCTTAGAAAAATCATTGCCTTATTTGGTCATTTAGATCGACTTTCTCATCAGTTCACTCGGACTTAGAGGGGATCATGGGATTTCGTTTTAGCTTCATCAGTGACCTTTTGATTACTCTCTATACCTTATATCTACGTGAGACTTGAACGATCCCCTAGTGTGAGGGGAGTCCTTCTTTGGACGATTAAAGTCACCTTCGATGTGATGCAGTACACCAAGTGTGAAAATTCACACATGCGTCCGAGTTCTCACATTTTCTTGAAGATATGCATTCTCAAAAATATATGATCAAGAAATGTATAAAAAATTTTCCTAGAATTTTACATAGTTTAAAACAAATCAAAATTTATTATCTATTCACCTTCATCCTACAAGATGAATAATGAAATTTACTCAGTAAACCATGAATGTTAATGTAAAGATGTTTCAATCAAAATTGCAATAAACATTAGACATTATATAATATCTTTTTTTCTATTTATTTTTCTTTGTTATCTGTGGGTATTAAAGAACTTTTTCCAAACCCATCCAAGATTCAACTAAACCACAATGAGTGATAAAATCAAAACTTGACATATCCAGGAAAGACTGCTCATGTAAAATTCTTGGAGTTCTCCACCATGATTCGATCATGCATCTCGAGTTCCCAGAGTGACAATCTGACACCTTTACCACCTCAGCCATCTGGCTGCTATAACTTAACATAATAGTCAGTTATTACAGAAAAGTTCCAGGACAAAGCTTGTAAAAAATAGAAAATTGCAATTACCAAGTAATGATCCTAGCTCCTGTCAAAGTATTCTCCTCGACTATCCATACACAATTGCCAACGTCTCTTGAGGTCTTGGAAGCAAGCAGAGAAAGCTTCAAGTGTGATGCTTGTTAGCTCATTTGATGTCTGCGATATCGAACAAAATGTCCCTTTCAGCTGTTTGACGAAATTTCTCTTTCAGCTGCAACCCTTTGTCAGAAAGTGTGATTTTTTTTCTTGTTTCTGCAAGTGAAAAAGCAACTGAAAGGGGCATTTCATCAAGATATCAAATAAACCATCCAATGGGCTGTGAAAAATGAACTAACAAGCATCACACTTAAAGCTTTCTCTGCTTGCTTCCAAAACCTCGAGAGACGTTGGCAATTGTGTATAGATAGCCGAGGGGAGTTCTTTGACAGGAGCTAGGATCATTACCTGATAATTGCAATTTTCTATTTTTTATGAGCTTTGTCCTGGAAGTTTTCTGACACCAGTTTGTCATGTAAAATACAATGTGTTCCATGCCGGAAAAAATACTCAAATATTTTATGTATAACATTTATTCAAAGAAAATTATACAATACACATTGTTAAGGAGCGTGAATCATTTTTATCTTTTCTTCTAGCATGGAATGAACCAACCCGGAATGTGAATTCAATTTGCAGAAAACAAAAACAATCACAGATAATATATCTGTGATTGTTTTTGTTTTCTGTTTATGTATTTAATAATTATAAATAATTAATTTTTAATTTAGAAATTTCTAAAATTTAATTTGAAATTGGTCATTAAATTTAATACTAGATGGAAGCATAACTGCCTACCTCTACCTCAAGTCAAATTAATTAATTTCTAATATTTAACTATAGCCTTTACATAGCCCAAGAATTTGGCATATCGTTTAGTGTGTTTATTATATAATAGGCTATGTTGTTGATGTTTATACGTAATATGTGTGAGCACCACAAGTTTGAAAAAATGTGCAATCACAAGCAACACTAATGTGAGGGTCGGACTGAATAAAATAAAATTAAATAATAAAGAAGTTCAATTTAAATTAAATATATTTATTAGACAAAATATATTTATTCTTTTGTTTAATAAATATATTAAAATATATTTATTAAACAAAAGAAAAGCTCCATTTTTCTCTTCCCGAAATTTTTCGAAAAAGGATGTACACATTTCCTTCCCATGGAGCCGTTACCTATCTTTCAGGAACCTTAAAAATGAATCATGAGGAACTTATCCTAAAAATCGGCAATTGGCGAAAACCAGTAATGTGACGAAAGGTATAAAGAGGGGTGACAATGTAAAACAGGGGTTGGTTTGTCATTACCGTTCGTGAAAGGGAGCCCTCATCGCTGCCGATCCTCTAACCCGGCATCGCCTACCGTCTTCACCGACCATTATCGCCGAGGACCTGTGCCGACCCTCATCAAAGCTATTTGTGCCCCAAGACAACTTGTCCAATCCGTTTAGAAAACATCCGATGCTCCGATCCCAACTCGTAGAGGTATGATACCCATTATTGTAAACTCTCTCTCGGCACAGTATGCCCGCAATAACTCCTATGTAGCTAGATTATCTAAGTTATGTCCAATAAATTCTTAATAAAACTGAAGACAAAAAACTGTCCAAAAAAGATCACCATTTATTTTTTGTGTTCCAAGACTAACACATTTTCAGCAACTGACTTTTCTTTGTAGGCTGCTTGTCGCCAGAAAATTACAAAGAGTCCTTTTAAAAAACACAAAACACATCCAATTAAAATTATAAAAATTTCTGAAAAAGGAACTGGTAACGTATTCTTTGTAATTTTCCGGCTACAAGCAGCCTACAAAGAAAGGTCAGTCGCCGAAAATGTGTTAGTCTTGGAACACAAAAAATAAATGGTGATCCTTTTTGGACAGTTTCGTCTTCAATTTTATTAAAAATATTTCTCCATCAGATAAACATTTACACAATAAATTCTTGTTTTGTTGTCAACTGGTGTTTTTAATTCGAGTATCGCCAACGTCTTACCGACAATCCCTCCTTACCTCTTCCACTCGACCTGACAAAAGAATCCCGACTTTCCAGGATAGAAAACATAAACAAGCTATCCCCTGACCAGTGGGCAGTTCTCACCAAACTGTTGCCTATCAAAAAGAGGCACAACTTTGTCCTACCTCAGGCTACTCACACTGAGATGCTAGTGGAACGAGTGCTAAACACAGACTGATGGAGCATGCGCACAATCTGGGACTTCCCCTCTTTTTGTCACTCATTATGCGAAATGTTGCTCATTAAGCAAGTTATTTTTTACAATTTGTTTTGCTCATTATGCAAGGTGCTCGTTAAGTGAGATTCCACTGTATACACACACAAATTGGAAAAATATTACAAAGATACTAATATATTTAATTTTAAAATGCAGACGGCATATTTACTATATATATAAAATACAGAAGATACAAAAACATATATATTAGTATCTTTGTAATATTTTTTTTTAAATAAAAGAAAACTAAATAAATAAATAATTACATTAATGTCAAATAAGTTGTGTAAACACAAAAATTACAGATTATACTAAAATTAAAGTTGTGAATGTGTCTCTTTAATCCAATCAATTCAGTTCGGTAGACTATCAATACAGCTTTCAGGTTAGATACTTCCTTTATTGTTTTGACATATGCATTTCGGACTTATATGAATTTTAAGTCCCTCTTCAGTTCAAAACTACAAATTATTTCAAAAGAACCTAATTAGTAAGATGACAAATTCTTCGCGTGTAGATCATATTTACTGACATAAAACTATTGTATTTAAAAATTGTTACACTTATACGATTTTAGAAGAAAGGTTTATAGGGTTTTAGAAGAAAGAACCTTAGGTATCGTATAAGTGTAACAATTTTTAAATACAATAGTTTTATGTCAGTAAATATGATCTACACGCGAAGAATTTGTCATCTTACTAATTAGGTTCTTTTGAAATAATTTGTAGTTTTGAACTGAAGAGGGACTTAAAATTCATATAAGTCCGAAATGCATATGTCAAAACAATAAAGGAAGTATCTAACCTGAAAGCTGTATTGATAGTCTACCGAACTGAATTGATCGGATTAAAGAGACACATTCACAACAAAATAGCAGCTACCATAAGTGATATTTAAAATTAAAGTATTGAAATATACACTTACTCTACAACCAGAAATTATTAAAGTACGCAATCTGCAGAAGCCACCATTCTGCCAACTATTTTCTACAGCTCGTTTTATCATTCCACCTATAATTGGAACTCTTATTAATTCAAGGCGTTCTAATGCTGTCGAGGCACTTAGAGCAACAATTAATGGAAGATATCTAAAATATAAAATAAAAAACTTATAAGCATAATTATAATATGGGTTAATTTTAAAAAACTAATTTGATTTGAAATTTGTATATCTATAAAAATGAAATCTAAACTATGAAATATTAATAGGATTTCTTAAGTAATATGATTTTATTTAGCTGTCTTTTTAAAATAAAATTACATACTTTAATCAATTTTATATAAAAGTTAAAAAAAAAAGTCTTATTATATTTTCCTGTATTTTTTTACCTAAATTATGACATTAATAAATTAAATTCTAAATTATTTGATCAAATAATTAATTATTATTATATTAATTAACACAAGTCTTAAAGGAAAGTTTTTAATTTTGTTGGCCAAGTAGTCTACAGAAAAAGGTAGGTTGTCAAAAACTGTATTCCAAAACATTGAAACTGAATAATTGATGATTCCTGTTTCAACAGACTGTGTCTTCAATTTTTAATATAAAAAGCAAATTCATAATGATTAAATAGGTGCCACAATTGATAAAGTAGCAACTTGCAATAGATCTTTGCTTGTAGGCTATTGCTAGAGCCTGGAGTGTTTTCTAGAGCTTAAAATTTTAGAACTGAAAAGTGACAATGCCTTTTTTACAAGTGTTTTACAATATTTGTAAATTTTTACAAGAATATACATGCTAAATCAATAATATATATCTTCATATACAGATCAGTAACACTAATATTAAAGCAAATGAGAAACATCAGCAAAACTTTGATAATTTTGTTAATTTACAGCTTCTCCAGAATTAAATTAAAAATTCAACTAATATTTGAGCAAACAATTAATTTCAAGTACTGTATTGGTTAATTAAGATAGAAAAATATTTTAAGTACAGATATTAAATATTTCTATACCTAAAAATTTTAAAACAGGCACATTAATCAATTATCAGCCACTGTTCCTTTGCTTATATATATTGTATGAGTAAAATTTGTAGAAAACAAGTTTTGTTTCTGTCTTGTAAAGCCCTTGAATAATTGCTAATTCTGCTAATTTTTTTGGTCCTTCTTTCATTAGAAATGTTAGCTTTATAGTTTTGTATTCTAAACTTTAATGTTTGAGTGATAGCTTCTATAAAATAAAGATGCACTCATTAATGTTTTATATCAGCATTCCATTAATATCATATTTTTTGAAAATATTCTATTTGTCATTATTAGTAACCAACAACCTCAAAATAAAATCTTCAGCATGCCAATACATCTTTCCAAATTTTAACTTTTAAATGAAAATAAATTTGAATTATATTGTTAATAAATCAAGTTTTATTATTCAAAAAGTAAGAAAAATATTCAATATCTAGTATTGTTATGTATCAAATTGTAAAGATTATAACTGTAAAGGTGATTCTACATAATGACACTTTCATATCTACATTCAGTATATATATTAAACCTGTTCAGATCTAGTATATATTGAGTATCATTGTTTTGATAGTGCCTAAACTTGTTTTTCCAGACTATGCATTGTCTGTCAACAAGTTTCAGTGTTGCAAACTGTGTATGGATATATTGCCATCTGGTGTACCCTAGCCAATTTCTAACCCACATCAAACTTTTCATAGTGTCATAATATAGCCAGATAGCTAAGGCAGTTGAGGCATCATCCTCAATTGTGGCCCAATTGTGATAGGATATCACAATTGAATTCTGGTGGTTGGAAAACTCCTGGAATTTTGTATGGATGATCTGTCCTGATTATGTCAGGCCACATCACTCATCACCCAGCTACCCTATTGTGGGACTAGTCAAACCCATCAAAAACTTGGTAAGTATCCACAGGTTGGAAATAGTAAGAAAAACTACATAAGTGGCTATCATGGTTACTAGTAAACATTCATCTATATTGACTATTTACACAGAATGTACAGTTAAATAATATAGATCAGCATTTCTCAAACTATTAATCACCAAATAATACTACCTTCTGCTGAAATACTTGCAATACTTGTATTACTGAAAAATTTGCTTAAAACTAGGAACATATGCATCTTTTAAGTACTGAAAATTTTAACAACTTTTTTTCCTTGTAATTATGATTGTCATTTAGTAATAAAATTAAGATTATAGAATGTATGTATATGAAATTTCTTTCTATTTTTTACTTTGAATAAAATAAAAATAGATATTTTACATAAGGTCATTGTCATAAAGCCATTTAAGTTCAATGGTCTTGAAAATATTTCCTTGTTTATTCAAACTTTTAAGTTTATTGTCATACAAAACAATAAATTATAAAAAATAAACAATGAATGAATTTTGGCACAAATGGAACAATAAATAATTTTTACAGAATTTATTATGTGTGTATGTGTATATATATATATAACATAATGAAATTGAAAAACCTTCTTATAATCTGGAAAAGTACATTTTAAAAAAGGGTTCATTAAGTTTATAAAAAAAGCTCATATTTTTCAAAGTAAAATAGGCTTTTGAATAACTTTGAAACATTCTGTTTTATTTACAGTCATTAGTCTTACACTTTTTAATAGTTAAATTTCAATATTAAAAACGAAATTGTTTGTTACAAATCAAAATTGGCCTGAATGCTCTTAATAGAAATATACTCAATGTTTCATTTCACATGTAGAAGTTATTATCAATATTGTATAATTTTATTTTGTTGTATAATATATAATGACTCCACTTTATCAAGTTTTTTATTTTTTTTTTAATTTTATATTATAAACATTTTGGTTATAGAACCATTACAAATATCAAATGAGCAAGAAGTTTGAGAAACACTGATCTAGATTAAGTCACTACTGTGACATCACATGTAGACAGCCTAGATACTTTCTAGTGACACTCAAAACCAAAATTAATGTATAAATAACACTAGTCTAAACTTTAAAAATGAAGTATGTGTGACTAGCAGAGACACCACTTTAGGACATACATATCAACATTGAATGTCACCATGGACTTAATAACATTGGACTTAATATTTATAAATTTCTAGACTCAGAAATCAATCCCAACATTAGCTTTTCAATGTTTAACTTTTCAAATCCAAAATATTTAATCTAGATTTTAAAAAGTTAATCATTTAACTTCATTAATTTTTATACTGATTTAATGATACTAACTTACATAAAAATGTAAAAATATGTAATTAATTGATGTTAACTAGATATTTTTTATCATTTATAATAATAGCATATATTCAGAAGTTTAATGAAAAATATTTGAATTACCGAAGATTAATATCAGGTCCTGTGGTATGTCTCATTACAAATGTTTTCAAGTTTGGAGCTCCAAATAATTGAAATGGATGTGGTTTAACAAATGTAATCCATTGTAAATATAGATGTTCTAACTGTGGTAATAAAGTTAACTCCATTACTTTTACACCTGAAAAATAATACTGTAATCAGTAATTTGTCAAAATTAAAATTTTTTTATTCCTGAAAATAACTGATATAAGTAAAACAAAATTAACTAAAATTCAAGACTAATTTAAAAGAAAATAATAATAAAATTTCAAATGTATTATTACCTGTAAGATAAAGAGATGAGATATTTGAATAAGATGGCAATTTCAATTTGTATGGACACATTTGCGGAAATGTGCTATCATGATTTCTGAAATGGCCAATGATGTTAACTTGAGGTAAGCTTCTTAAAATGTTTTCCATTAAAAAGACATTTGATATTTCTACTGCTTTTAAGTGTGTGCATTGTTGAAGAGCAGAAATAATGCCTTGAACAGTAAGTTTGGCTTGTCGTCTTATTCTTCGATGTTCTATGCGACGAGCGTGAAGACCATAAATAATTTTCAAATGACAACATTTTTTCAAAAGATTTCTCAAATTTTCATCAGTAATTGAATTTGGCATATATTCAAAAAGATTACTATCAGTCAAATGCAATATTTTACATAAATGTAAATACATATATACAGCATTGTTTAGTTTTTTACACAAAACAGCAACATGGAGTATATCTTTTAATGGAAGAAAGCTAATAATATGACAAAGCAACTCATTTGATAATGAAGTTAGATTTAAATCACTAATTAAATACATTGTTTGTCATAAATGATTTATTGAAAGAACTGAAGAAGGCCAAGCATAACCCTAGTAAAACATGACCTGAAAAAAAATCAAAAATTCCATTTTTTATCAAATTGAATTTTAAAACATATTTAAGTAAATTAAACTTTTTTAAAAAAATATTTTAAATCAACATATAAATAATGATATAAAAAGTTAAATACAGTAATAGCCCTTATGCAATAGGTGGGACCGAGTGATAACCGCATAAGTCTAATTCACGTAAGTCGGGGTATAATTTCTCAATTTGTGTAAAATCCAAATCGGATGTACGTAAGCTAATAAACGTTCTCGTTAACCTTATCTCGTCTTTTGATTCGTTCATTGTTATAAGAAATCACCACATAGAATCTCTCGAGTCTCCGTAGATATAACAAATACAGAAATAAATAACACAAAATAAATTGTAGCTATGCGTCGATTCCGTGCAACACGTCCGAACATGTAAGCTGAACAATTGTGCAAGGGGAATAAGTAATCAAGAGTTGCCGTGGCGCTCAAACAAAAGACGAATCGACGAGATTTGAAAATCGCGTAAGTCGGGGTAGCATAAGTCGAGGTATTACTGTATATAATTCTAGTCTATTAATAGAAAACTTTTATTTCTATATCTTTGATAATATTTTAGCTACATCTGTAACTTTGTGGATATAATTTCCAAAGTATATGCTTGATTATTATTTAGTACATTTTCAGAATCATTTAAAACAAATATTCATGAAAATTAAATAAATCTAATTTATCACTTCTAAGCATGAAATATATATCAGATTTAATATATATGGAAATAGGAAAGAATACTTTCAATACACTGTATATTTAAAATTCATTAAAGGTCCAGATAAAACTGGAACTTTGTAAATAAAATCTTTTATATATTAATACTATACTTTTAACACACTAAAAATTTTTATTTTTAGTGTCTTAATATTATCACCGATCCCATTGATTTTAATAATTGAATTTATACTATACTTTTACTGCAATAATGCCAACAAATTCATACAGATTTAGTTAACTAAAAAATAGGACTAAAATTAACTAGGACTAGTAGAGGCTAGGACTAAAATTAACATTTATTTCTTCTGCTTAAATTCTACTCAAAGATAGAATTTGCTTATTTAAGAAAATAAACAAAAAATATAAGTATGAGAGCAGTACTGCTCAAACTTTTAGAGTAGGAGCCCAAATTGTGCATAAGTCCAAAGTAAGCAGGGCAAATATTTTTTATATTCCATATATGCTAAAAGTGAATCTATTTCTATCTTATAAGAGATGTGTCAAATATGTTTATGGACTGGATTTGTCCTGGGAGCATCACAGTATTAGAGATTATTATTATTATTATTATACAGCATTTAGTGGGTTATACTCGGATGATACCAGTGGCTGTGTACTATGCCGGACCAGAGTCAAGGCATAGCAACCAAAAACTAAAATTAAATGAGTGTGTCAGTGACTGTATTATTATTATTTATATATATGTATGTCTCTTTAATCCAAAATTAAGTTCAGTAGACTATCATTACAGCTTTCAGGTTAGACACTTCTTTTATTGTTTCTACATGTATGTTACGATCTATATATGTATGTTAAAGAGACATACATATATAGATTGTAATAACAGCTACCAAAAGTGATATTTAGAAGTGTATTATTATTATTATTATTTTAAACAGTTTTATTTCATGTTTATGTAATACCACTTTAGTACTTTGAAGTTTTTCTTAGATAACATCATTGAATTATTTTAATAAAATTAAATAAAAAAATCTGTGAATTGTCAAATATTTAAATTCATAGTCATTTCTTATTTGTGTGTGAAATTTTATTTCCATATTAAATTTTCTATTAAATGAACACTATAAAACAGTGAAAAATGTCTTTATAAGTATTTAACATTTAACTTAAACTTCTTGATAAAGCTTTTCATAAAATCTCAAGTACAAATTTTTTCTTATAATCAAATCAATGTAATTTAACCACAATTTGAATATTATAATAAATACATCTCTAATTATTATAATTATGCCTTATTCTGGTAAATAAAAATCTCAGTTATGTAAAACACAAAGAAATTTAATACTAATGCCTAATATCCATAAAGTAATTAAAAATTTTCAAAAACTATAAAGATTTGCAACTCCAAAAAATAGGAGTTATTTAATATATCTTATTATATGTATATCCCTGTGTAGTAGACTCTGCCTACTGTAATTATTTTGGGACTCATCTATATAACAATAACTACCTGATAACATAAGTGTTGTAAGTAAATAAGATTAACTAGTTTTATTAATTTTAACATTAAAAAGATATTAAAGCAGTTAAACTATGCATAACTTGAAGATTTATTAAATATAATTATTATTAACTTTTATGTTTTGAGACAAGCTAATTCTGATAACATTAAACAACAGATAACAAACAGTGTCTACTATATTTTATGTTAATTTTACTGGGACAATATTTAGAAAGTAATACATATAAAAAAAAACAAAAGTTTTCCATTTCTAAAATTGAAAAAAATGTGGCAGATTTTTAAATTTACCACCATTCACTCAAGATTCATTAAAAGACGTTACTGTTTTTACAATATGTTTTTCATTTACTTTTCAGTATTCTATAAGTTACCATTGAACGGCTTGTCATTTTGGTTGTGAAGCATTGTGTGGGTCATTTTGACCTTGTATGTTGTTTATGTTAGCATTTCCATTTGTGTAAAATGTAAGTATATTCATTGATTTTCAAGAAATATAAATAATACAATTGAGTATGTAGCTTGTTTGATAAGTCATTTTTTGTAATTGAAAATTTATAAAATAAAGCATCAACAAATTTAACTGATAAAATATTAATGGATTTTGTAAATGACAACAAATTTGTGCATGTTCAAAAGCAGTATATAAAGAATGCACAAAAAATATGCTCCCAAAATGTTTTGATAAATAATTTTTTCCATTTCTAGTTTTGAAATAAGAGTATTAGGCAACCATTCATAATGTAAAAACAGTCAAAATGATCCATGTGTAAGACTGTAGTTAGAATTAAAAATTACATACAGTACTTGTGAGATAAACATACTTTACACTGCAAATGTACAAGTATCTATTATTCTGAAAGCACATAAGAATATTTCTAAAATTCATTGAAGGTGATTCTGATAAACTTAAAATATTTGAAGTAAATCAACTGTTTGTTTGGACTGGTGGTAAAGGGAATCAATAAGCAGAATATAGTATTGGATTTCTTTTAAACTAAATTTTAGAAGCAGAATATCTTTGAGTTTGATCTTTTGAAAGTTCTATCTGTTATTAAAGGCTTATTTTATTGTATTATTTTTATTACAACATAGAATTCGATATTTTGTTTGTTTTATGCTTCAAACAGTAAGAGATGAATATATAGAATACTTTAATTTATATAAAATTTGTAAGTATAACATAAAATAGCAGAAGTTGCTTTTGGTTATTTTGTATGTAAAGAACACTTATACTGTATATTTAAATGGTCCAAAAGTAACTTCTATCCATAAAATATATAATAAAACTTGGTTTGCTGAATATTCCTTCACATTTCATACCTTTTAATGAAATAAGAGCATCTCTGGCATTTTTAATTTATAAATTTATCAAAATTCATTGCATATTTAATGATTTAAAACACCATCACAAGTCGTCAACATGTTAACTTTCACGACAACCCATTCCAAAAGTCAACTGGCGACATCTGCTGTTCTTTTATTATAAAATAATAATAATAATAATAATACATTTGAAAAATATGATGTATAATGAATAAATTTTATTAAATTATTTAAATTATTTTTATTTAATTTAATATTTTTTGTTCAAATTGCAACTTTAATAGAAGAAAAGATTTAAAATTTCCGTAAATTCTAATGGTGTGATGATATTTTGTAACCAAGGTCTATAGTTTGTAACGGTTTAAATTGTAAGATTATAAAATTTGTCATTTGACTTCGAATAATTCAATATAACAATTTTGTGGACAAATAAATTTAATATAATTCAACAACTTTCAATGAAACGTTTCTGTAATGACGTTATAGAAAAAATATACATTTGAAAACAAAAGTATGTTCGCTCTTCCATTAAGTAGGAAAACAAACATTATTCTTAGAAATTTAAATTATTCTGTGGTAATCAAATTTTTCGACGTAATAACATGACACTAGACGTGTCGATGGTTTTAAGCACATCAAAGACAATAGAATATATAAAATTGTAACGATGCGAATATGGCGTCTTTTTGCGCACGTTGTCTGAGCGTCTTTACTGAATAGGCCCACCACTGGTCAAGCAGTTTCGTTCCCTGAACACAGAGTACAGTCGGGGGTTAGCGCTTCGCCAGGACGGGTTGGCCACATGGAGTTTTCCGGGTTTTCTCCACGTCTGTAACACCTAAATAGGGAGGGGCTAGTTACCCCTGAAAAAAATCTTCTAAAAGGCATCCCCTAGGCAGATCGCTTAATTAAAAAATATTCTAATCATTGACACACACAGGCATGCCAACTAAATGCTACAATAACGTTGTCCTCCATCTTGTCCGTGTCGGCTGTGACGTCATTACAATAATAACCAATATTGGATTGGTTAAATTTTTTTTAGGATTTGACGACGACTCGATGTATATTTCGGATGGGACCGCTGTAGAATTACTTTTCTGTATTCTTTTTCCGCACTACTTATCTGCAGTGTTTTTTTTTTTTTTTGGCGAGAGTAGTCTTAAAGCTTCCGTTTTGTTAATGTAAGAAGTTATTTTGGTAACGAGATAAATCATAGATGTAACTACGAATGGCCGAGTTTACACACGAAAAATATAGACGTTCAAGATATATTCGGCTCCATCTCTCACCACCCGATCGCTCTACTGTGGCTTGGCCTAACCCATATTGGGACCGAAGAAAGGCTTTGTGAGTGCTCATAAGACATAGTAAAAATAAAAATACTGTATACTGTATAATAATAAATAAACCCCTTCGTTTTTAATGGGATTTAACATCTGGAATATAGCCATTAAAACATTTATTTTGAGCAAATGAATTATATGTTGTTCGAAAGTTTTATAAATAAAATTAAATGTAATATATTAGTTCATAAAAGCGATTATTATAAGTTTTAAATGAATAATCGACTTATTTACAAAAACTAATTTCGACCAATAGGTGGCGTAAGTAGGCTTATCACTAGTGCTTTGTTTTTATTGGAAAAAATGGAGCGGAAATGATAAATATTGTTCGAAATTTAAATTCAAGTGCGATGGCAGCTTCGGAAGAAGCTTCTTTAGCCGTGATGAGTATAGTTATCGAGTCATTCCTGGACGATCAGATCGAGAGAGCCATCCTCGATACTTGTCAGGATACCGAAGACGGTGAAGTGCTGCTCGTATACGAAGCTATGAGAGAAAAAAGAGAGAAATTGAAGACTTACGTCGAAGAATACATCCCTAAATTCGCACCCAGCGTATTTAAAGATTATTTTAGAATATCTTCGACTACCTTCGATGCTTTTGTAAATTCTCTTCGTATGTGTCCGAGTTTGGCCAATGGAGAAACTGTTAAACCTGGAAGACCGAGAATCTCCCTAATCCGAGGCGCTCTCATCACTCTTTGGTACTTGGCCACTAAAGAGACAGTCATAAAAATCGCGCACAGATTCGCCGTGGCCGAAGGGACGGTCTGTAATTACGTGTCCATGATATGCGATGCCGTGACCGAAACGCTGGCGGCCCAATATATTAAGTGGCCCGGGAGTTCGGATATCGGTGACGTTACCGAAGGCTTTGCGGAGAAGAGTGGATTTCCCGGTGTGATCGGTGCCGTTGACGTCATTCACGTGCCGATTAAAGCGCCCCAGCAGAGTCCCGAATTGGGAGACGATTACGTTAATAGGAATCAGACGTATTCTATTCTTTTACAAGCAGTTTGTAGTCACGACTTATCATTTATAGACTGTAGCTGCGGTTGGCCCGGTAGTACGCGCGATGCGCAGGCCTTTCAAAGTTCCGGTCTATATCAGGTATGGTAATTTATAAAGTTTGATATGATAGGAAATAATTTTATTGTTTTCGTTCGGCTCGCATATAATTCTCACAATACACTTAAGATTGTATTATCCTCGACTCTTGTGAAAGACTGACGTATTCTCTATTTTTCTAACTTCGTACTGATGTCTACTTGCTGGTAAAAGCCATTTATGAGGCTGGATTGATTGCCCGGATTCCACATTGACTTTGCCTTGTATTGTTGCCGGAGTCATTGTATTGTCTTTTCGAGGACCCAGCCAACATTTGGAGTAAAAAGAAGTGGGAAGTGATGTCAATGTTGAGCTGCCTGCCATGCGAGATCCCCGACTTATGCAACCTGAGGAACGCTTGTGTGGCATTTTTGTGGTGGATGACTCTTCTGGGCCTCCAGTTGCCCAAAGGCAGTTAATTGTTGTTTACTGATGTCCAACAAATTCCAACATATGCTGAGCAAAAACTGGCCCACTCACTTTTCTCTCTCTCTGTACAATGTGTATGGAATTAATCCTAGGTGTTCTAATGCAGAGTGAATAGGGATCCACTGAACCAATCTGTCTCCCATTTATAGTCTATTTTGTCTAAAAGATTCATATAAACAAATTATATTCTAACACATTTAAAATATAACAATCATTGAAATGTAGCATTTTCTGACATAGAATCATATTCTGTATAAAATCAAAAATAACAAAGTATAAATGTAAATCTATGAGTTTCAATATATGCAGTATATGTTACAGATAAAGCCAGAATTAATGGCTGATGCTAGCTTTATCCAACTCTCCTGGTAAAAACAAGTAATAATCTATTAATTTCGAACTTTATACAGCACATTTTATCAAAATTACAAGTGAATAAAGCCAACATTATCCAAAATTGGATGAATGAAGCAGGAACAAAACTTAGACTCATATCTGAATAAAGTGTAAATTTTATCTCCCTGTCAGCTGAGTCTATATATCACCATTTGAATAGATCTCAAAGATATTGATCAAAGTTACTTTTTTATAGGCATGAGCATTTAGTTTTTAGTTAGTAAATGGAATATTGGAAATAGAGCAATGTTGCCAGATTGTTTATCGCTAGATTTCAAGCCACTTGGTAATACAGTGACAATTTTTTTCAATCAATCTGATGAACTTTTCTTGCTTATGTTAAGCATTTTAAAACACTTGTAAACTCCAAGACTATATTATATTAAAGGATAGTTATACAGATGGTTTTTAGACCCCTTGCATATACATGTGTACATGTAAATATATGTAAATAATAAACACAACAAATTGTTTATTTCCATTTCCATAGTATAGGAAATTATCTCATTTAATTGCTTGTAAGAGAGAGAAACATTTGTTCATAGATTAAAAATTCACATAAAATGATTATTTTTTATAATTATGTATAGTTTGAATTTTTCATTTTAACTTTAATTTTCTGTTAACTAATCACATCATTAAGTGTTTAACTGTGTAAAATTCTTGAAAGAATATTTTATCTTTAAAATAGCCAAATAATGAAAGCTCAACATTTATATATGGTTAACAGTGCTCTGAAAATCTGTCAGATTCTAATTTCTCTAATGGATAAAATGGATTATAAATGTTTAACAAGCACGTTTAAAAAATTTACATTATTTTAATCAGCTGTAATTATATTAATAATGTATATTTATTTAATAATAGTAATCTAAATTTTATTAATATATTCTATATTTTATTCAATATATTGAATAGACGACAAGATGAATGCAGTTTGCATTTTGGATCTAATACAATTTTGAGATTTAATTATTCATACTTTTCTATGCAAAAACATTAAAGAAGTGTTTACTGTCAAATTTAATAATGTTTATTCTACAAAAGTATTTACTTTAAAAAGTTACAATTGTTATTATTACTATATGAATTAGAAATAATGCATGGTGAGTTCTTAAAATTGACTTTCATGCAAACAAAATGGTAGATACATCTCATCAGAAAAATTCTATTTTTTTATATTCACAAATTTTAATTTGTGACTGAACTCAATGCTCATTTAATAAGTTAACTGTGATTTACATATAATAATTATGAATACTTATTGTATTCTATCAGATTAAATTTTATATAAGGAGTTAGACATACTATAATAGTTTTAGATAACATTTTCTCTACATTTTTAATAAAAGTATTAAAAGAAACCATATGCATATGGAAGTATACCAAATGGTAAAATGTCACAATATCATCACTGATTAAATCTTTATTTAGTTTTTTTTTGTTTCTAAGTCAGTGGTAAGGAAAACTGTTTGGAAAGTTAAGGTTGATTGTAATCTCTTTGATTATGCATGCAATCTCCAGCAGATATCATTAAATTTTTATGGACTACAAGAAAATTGTTGAAAATGGAAGCAGATAGAACCAACAGTTTTTTGTTAGAATTTAATTTAATTTTATTAATATATGGTTTAGAATTTTGAAAATCAAATTCATTAATTTTCTACAACTTTAAAAATTCATATTGTAGAAAACTAACAAAAATGATTTTCATAATTCTGGACAGTACATTAATAGAATTAAATAGAATTCTATCAGAAAAAACTATTTGGTTATATCTGCTTTTGTTTTGAGAATTTTTGTAAAAGATTTTCCCATAGAAAAAGCATTAAATTTCTATTATCATCTGCTGGAGATTGTTAATTAATTGTAAACTCCAGTACAGTTTCATATTCTTTTGTTGTAAGAATATTATATAAATTTATTAGTGGAAAAATAATTTAGAATATTTAAGCCATAAGAGTAATATTTAAATTTTACATTATGTAATGACACATTTAATAATTTGCCTATAATTCATTTTCTTTACTAGGGTGCCATTGAGGATCCAAGTAGAATGTTTCCTAACAATACTCACATTGTTGCAGATTCTGCATATCCATTAGATGAATGGTTAATGACACCATACGAAGACAATGGATTTTTAACAGAAAAAGAAAGGATTTATAATGACGTTTTGGCAAGATCAAGAAGTTACATTGTCCATGCTTTTGCCATGCTGAAGTCCCGCTTTTGTAGACTAAAACGTGTAGAAATAAGTAATGTTGAAAAAGTATCAAAATTAGTATTGACTTGTTGTGTCTTGCACAACTTGTGCTTACAGACAGAGGATGATGTTGACATTGATGAATTTACTGAAGATTACACTGACGATGTGGAAGATATCATTATGAAAAGAAATATATTTGGGTATCCAAGACAAGAGGCAATAATTAAACGCAACGGCATTGCTGAAGCATTTTATCAGCAACATCTAAGAAATACATATTCTTTGTAGTACATTTCAAGGGAGCAAAGAAAAATATAAAATGCTATTTGAGCATTTTCTATTAATGCTGTATGTTTCTTGTTTCTGTGAATGTTCTGTGGATCCAAATATTGCTCAGATGGTGTGATTTTGATGACATCTGTTCAATTGAAAGTTTATTTAACTTGTAAAATTTAGTTTGTCTATTCTGATATGTTAATATACTAATGTCAAGAGAGTTTTTATCATGTTTTGTAAATAAAGTATTATAACTATGATATGATTTGTTCATTCGTTTATTAAATATACAAAGATACATACATTTATTAACATATTTTTAAATTAGAAGTTCTTTATATAAAGTATCAGGTAGCAAATGTTTTTACTTAAGACAGAATAATCTAGTTTATTTACTACATTATTCTAATCATGTAAGGAAGTGCCTAATTAACTCATAGCAAGATATTTAGTGTATACTAAACTATAAATTAAAATAATTGTAATTTTAAAACAGTTTACTTAAAATTTAAAAATATCAAAAATTCCAAAATTTATTGTTTGCATTCATTTAAATATCAGCAGATTCTTGTGTGTGTAATTTAAAATGTTTTATTATAATTGCATAGACTAGTTCAATTGAACAATTAATCATTGCATCATTCATTCTAGCAGTTACATAATATTGATTAATGGACAAGATTATTTTTTTTCAATAAAAAATTAAATGAAATACATACTTATAGTGAATTATGATAAAAGTTTAAGTACAATATTACATCAGTGAGCAAAATAATGCTGTTATGTTTTAAGGACCTTTATAATCATTAAGAATGTAGTTAAGTTGCTTTATCATTTAAAGCAACTTAACTACATTCATTTATCATTTAAAAATTTCTTGTTTACTGTTACATATTTTTCTATTTTTTTGAAACTTGTTCTTTGAGAATTTACTATAGAAAAGTTCTGAACAGAGCAATGCATAAAATTCATTGAATTTTATTTTGAAAATCAGTATTCTATTGCTTGGAGCACACATGCTTGCTTGATTTGATAGACCACTTTTACTTTGTGGTTACTTGAATGGTGATCAGTTATCTCTAACCATACAGCCATTTAAAGACAACATGAAATTCAGACACATGCCAGACATGATGAGAGCTATTACTGAGGTTGAGGCCAAAGTTTTAAATTTGAAAACGTGTACATTGGACATTCAACACTGCTTTCCTGTAAGCCTAGAAGTTTCACAATGGCTTTTGGAATGTCAAGCATGATTCCACTGACTTTGCAAACACCTTTGTCAAGCTTCTAGGCTTTCAGGAAAGCACCACTGAATGTCCAACGTACACGTTTTCGCGTTTAAAACTTTGGCTTCAACCTCGCTATTATGGATACCATAGAAGGAGCAAATATTAATACTTTTAAAGCAAAAAATGGGAGTTATATACATATTATTTTCCTTATAGTTACCTTCTAACAAGTCAAACATATAATTGAATGTACTTTCTCATTCAAATGTGCATTATATTTATTCCTAAGAAGTTATCTTTTAAATATACAGTATTAAATATTTTTGTTTTTCTTTAAAATTCTGAAGACATGAAATAATTGATTAAATATACAAGTGATAAAACATTTATATTGCTAGATAACAGAATGGATGGCTAATCTATGGTACACATACTCAGAGTGACAGGTTTGGAGTCATGATCTGGCACAGAAAATACAATTTCAGTTTATCACCTGTTTTTTCAATCATCCTTTCAGTTTATTACATCATCATCCTATATTTCAATCAACTTCTTTACATTTATTCTAATTAAAGCATATTCCTTTCATTAATTCAAATGTTATTCAAAATGTTTATGCATGCCTAAGTCTAAAACTTCACTATGCATAAACGTATATGGACTCAAAAAGAAAAGTCCAATTTAAAGAAAAATGAAAAATTGAATTAAAGTTCACTGTGAAAAGTTCAATTTTGAAAACTTGAAAATTAAAGTTCACATTAAACAATGGGATAAAATTCTGAACAAACTTAAAAATTATTGAAAATAAGATGTCTACATTACTAAATCCTAACTTAAGGCTGATTTAACCTCTGATTAGGCATATGTTCTCCTGCAGAAAGTATTAAAACTTTGATGCTCTTTCTGTGAGAAAATCCATTTCAAAAAATGATTGAAAAAGGAAGTAGATAGAATCAAAAAGTTTTTTGCATTAGAATAGTCCAGAATTTTGAAAAGTGAATTAATTAATTTTTTACAACTTTAAAGGTTCTGAACTGTATGTTAATAGAAGAATTAAATAAGATTCTAATGCAAAGGATTCTTTGGATCTATCTGCGTTCACTTTTCAAGAATTTTCAGAAAAGGATTTCTCATAGAAAAAGTATTAAATTTTTATGCCATTTGCTGGAAATTGCATGCATAACTAAAGAAGTTACAATCAGCCTTACATTTTAATTGAAATTTTCTCTTAATATAAATTAAAAATTACATGAATATCATGTATTGAATTTTATCATTTCACTTTAAAAGATTAACTAAACTAGATTTACCATGATCATAACTTTTACATTCATATTTTGTATACATAATTGATTATTTTTCTAGAAATGCACAAAGATATGGCATATAGTCTTACTAATGAAAACAAATCTTCATGATTTTCTTTTATATGAGAGTGGTTTTGTTTTTATCTTTTTTTTTTTAATTACAAAATAACATATTTAATTTTGTAAACACTATTTTCTTAAGCCAGTTTTAAAATCCCAACTTTTATTAAGGAATGAGAGGTCAAATTGCTAGTTTAATTAATTAATTTTCACATGTTTTTGTTTTCTTATAGAGTTTATATTAAAAAATTGTAACAATCACACACTTTGAAGATACAATTGCACCTCCTCATAGAAAATTTTTTACAGGAAAAAGCTACCATTCTGAGAAAAATCCAACCTCTGGCACATCTGCCCTTCGAAAAAAAAAAAAAAATGACTACTACATATTGCACCAGTGTAACCACTCATACTGTAAGGAACACCATGCAAGTCAATGTGTTACATTGACTTGCATGTAACACATTGCAATGGTTGCAAATAAATTTAATAATAATAATTAAATGTCTGAACTATCAAAACTAGCATATTTCATCATATTATATTACTGCTAGTCAGTATTCTGACATGAAATTAATTAATAAAATAAATAGTTGTAAAATTTACAAAGCTGTGTTTCTATACTAATGTTTTACACTTTGTGATGTAGAGTTAATGAAGATATTATCTATTGTTATTTATTGAATACAGACATAATTATTAATATATATTTATTCCATTTAAAGCAAGTATAAATGAAATTATGTTTCTAATTTTTAACGTGTGCATATTATAATTAAACAATTATATTCACAGGAAAATGCTTTGTTTTCAATTGTAAACCTGTTTGAATTCTTATAATTTTTAAACAAATTTAACAGCTTTCAAAATGATCAAAAATCATAAGTGATATATTCTAAAACAATCTATACATATTTTACTCTAGATGTCAATGAATACGAGTTATTATATATTTAGTGCACTCTCACTAATCCAAACCAATTTTGGACATTTTACCATTAAATGTTCCAGCAAAAAACAAAAAGAAATCAGATTATTTTCTTAACAACATGACTAATTTTTAAGATTAATACATACTATGCATTTTAAGAAATATGTCTGCTTTCTTATAGTCATACTTAGGCTTACCATAATATTTTTTTCTCAAACCGGGACAATTTTGAGAAAATACTCGCAACATAAAATTTGCTTACTAGGATAAGTAGCTATGATTGAAAAGGCTAAATAAAGTAGACTAGTTGTTAACAAAAACAACGAGTTAAAAGCAATTTTTAATAACTGAACTATTACTAAACATATCATATTATTAATATTTATCACTAGTGTAAGCTTTTTAAACAATTCTTTGTCGTTTAAATCGGTACATTTAAAATTTGACAATGCATTTGAGGAAGTTCCTACAGTATTGCTTGCCTTATATTTCACACATTTCAAATGATTTTTAATGTTTGAATGCCCACCATGAGTTACTGAAAATTATGAAAATCACAGTTCATATTTCACTTCGTCAATACGATCACAGACTTTTTTCCAATCATCAGTAAACACATGGTTTCTTTTTGGCATTTTAGAGATTAAATGAGCCGATCAGCAATTTGAACTCGACTAAGATATGATATGCACAGCAATGACGTGGCCAGTGTAAGTTTCAGTCTTGCCAACTCTAATTGAAACAAAATATCTAAAAAAAGGAAATAAAAATATCTGGATCTTATAGACTACGTGCTATTATAAATTCTGTAAAAAAATATCTGAATGACAAAATAAAACATCTAAATTCATTAGGCCATATGCTATAAATTTTTTAGGAAAACATATAGATAACATTAAAAGTACTTAGATCTAGATACGAAATTTTTTATTGGCAACAGTGAGTATAACAGAGTGCCAAATCGCCATTTTAATCGAGGCTGTACTATTTTTACTTCTTGTATATTCGGCACTTTTAAAATTTTACCAAATAACCGGGACAAAATGACAAACTGGCCGGGACGCTAGGACAGCATTAGGGTTTCTCATTTCCCGGTATTTTGCTTGTCCCGGGATCCCGGGATAAAAGTGAACTGTTTCCCGGGATCCCGGGATAGAATTAATTATTTTTAAGGTATACAAAATATCTTGAAATCAAATGATATAATTATTTTCCATTTTTTAAAGTAATTTTAAAGTTTTGTAACCTCCAAAATCATATTAATAATGCTGTGTAAGGTCTATAGGCCTATAATAAAAATTACCTTTAAATAACGTAGAAATTTTCACAAATAGAAAAAAATTAATTAAAGTTTGCTGGAAACTGCATACAACAACAACAAAAAAAATGTTTTGAATTGAGTTAAAAATTAAAAAAATGAACTTCTAATTTAGAAGGTAATTTTCGTTTTTTAAATAAAATATAATACAAAATATTGCAAACTTTTATAAGATTTTAAAAAGCAAAGATGGTCAATACTCCGATAACTCACTCTAATTCTTATTTTAGTAATGAAAAGTCTTGCCACCG